TTTTTTATTTTTTTTTAAATAAATTTTTATTAATTTTCCAAACACAAAATAAAAAGACAAACAATACACAATACACCGACATACAAACATATAAACATGTATAATTTCATAACCATTTTTTCATAAACCTTACTTTCCGGACTTCCCCATACCTCCCCTTTTCTGCATCCTTGTTTTATATTTTTTCAGCAACTCCTCAGTCGACTAATTATTCAATTCATTTTCTTTTAAATTCTTCTAATATTGTTAATTACAGCTGCAATTCTCTGTTTCCCTACCCCTTGACATTTTAACATTCCTGAATTTTACAACAAGTTCTAAGATAAACTTTGAATTTCTTCCAATCTTCTTCCACTGTCTCTTTCCCCTGGTCACGGATTCTGCCAGTCAACTCCGCCAGTCCCATGTAGTCGATCACCTTCGTCTGCCATTCTTCCAGTGTGGGTAGTTGTTGTGTCTTCCAATACTTTGCTAGAAGAATCCTTGCTGCTGTGGTCGCATACATAAAAAACGTCCTGTCCTTCCTTCTCACCAATTGGCCGACAATGCCCAGGAGAAAAGCCTCAGGTTTTTTAGGGAAGGTCCATTTAAGAACCTTCTTAATTTCATTATAGATCATTTCCCAAAAAGCTTTTATCCTCGGGCAGGTCCACCAAAGGTGATAAAAAGTACCTTCAGTCTCATTACATTTCCAACATTTGTTATTGGGCAGATGATAAATTTTTGCAAGCTTGACTGGGGTCATGTACCACCTGTACATCATTTTCATAATGTTTTCTCTTAAGGCATTACATGCCGTAAATTTAGTACCTGTGGTCCAGAGCTGTTCCCAGTCAGCAAACATAATGTTATGACCAATGTCTTGTGCCCATTTTATCATAGCTGATTTCACCGTTTCATCCTGTGTGTTCCATTTCAACAGCAGATTATACATTCTCGACAGATTCTTAGTATTGGGTTCTAACAGTTCTGTTTCTAATTTTGACCTCTCCATCTGGAAACCTATTTTCCTGTCCTGTTTAAATGTCTCGTTTATCTGAAGGTAGTGCAACCAATCTCGCACTTTGGACTTTAATTTCTCATAACTCTGTAATTTAACTTTTTCCCCATCTTGTTCTAAAATTTCACAATATTTTGGCCATTTAGACTCCATATTAAGTTTTTCACCTCTTTAGCTTCCATTGGTGACAACCACCTGGGAGTTTTACTTTCCAGTAAATCTTTATACCGCATCCAAACATTATATAATGCTTTCCTAACAATATGGTTTTTGAAACCTTTATGCAGTTTTACCTTATCATACCATATATATGCATGCCAGCCAAATCTATTGTCAAACCCTTCTAGATCCAAAATGTCTGTATTCTCAAGAAGTAGCCAATGTTTCAACCAGCAGAAAGCCGCCGATTCATAGTAGAGTCTTAAGTCCGGCAGGGCAAACCCCCCTCTATCTTTTGCATCAGTTAGAATCTTAAATTTTATTCTGGGCTTTTTGCCCTGCCAGACAAATTTAGATATATCTTTCTGCCACTTCTTGAAACAGTCCATCTTGTCCAAAATCTGCAATGTCTGGAATAAAAACAACATTCTAGGCAATACATTCATCTTGATAACAGCAATTCGACCTAACAAAGAGAGTTTCAACCTTGACCATATTTCTAGATCTTTCTTTACCTCTGTCCAACATTTGTCATAATTGTCCTTAAATAAATTGACATTCTTAGATGTTAAGTTTACCCCCAGATACTTTACTTTTTCGTTATCACTAAACCTGTTTCATTCTGAAACTTCTCTTTTTCAGCCAATGTTAAATTTTTGTCCAACACTTTCGTTTTCTGCTTGTTCAGTTTAAATCCTGCTACTTGACCAAATATCTCAATTAGTTCTAATACTCTTTTAGTACTAGTATCTGGCTGTTGCAAGGTCAGTACTAGGTCATCTGCAAATGCCCTTAGCTTGTAATGTCTAGCTCCGACTTGTACTCCTTTAACCAACTGGTCTCCTCTAATCATGTTTAACAAAACCTCCAGGACTAATATAAAAAGTAAAGGGGATATTGGGCACCCCTGTCGTGTACCTTTTTCTATAGATATTTCTTCCGTGACCACATTGTTTACAATTAACTTTGCTTTTTGTTTAGAATATATTGCACCTATACCGTTTTCAAACCCTTGACCTACCCCCATCCCTTGGAGATTCTTCTTCATAAAGCTCCAACCAATATTATCAAAGGCTTTCTCCGCGTCCACAAAAATTAAAACAGCCTTCCTATTGATGTCCACTTCTAACAGTTCCAAAATGTCTATAATGTTCCTCACATTGTCCGACATATGTCTCCCTGGAAGAAAGCCAGTTTGGTCCTTATGAATCTCCCCTACCAACACTCTCTTCAGTCTTTTTGCCATAATGTCTGCAAAAATTTTGTAATCCACATTGAGTAATGATATAGGGCGGTAGTTTTTAACCTGGTTCTTTTCAGTTTCAGTTTTCGGTATAAGTGAAATAAAGGCTTCTTTCCACGACTCTGGTGCCTTTTTCCCCTCCAAAATTTCATTGCATACTTCCTTCAGTGGTTGTACTAGCCATTCCTTCAACGCTTTATAATATCTGGCGGTCAAACCATCTGGTCCTGGAGATTTTCCCAATTGCATCTTCTGAATGGCACCCTCTATTTCTTGTCCTGTTATTTTCTCATTCAAAATCCTTCTGCTTTGCTCTGAAATTTTTGGTAATCCATGTTTCTTAACAAATTCTTCTATTTCCTGTTCGTTGACTGGCCCTTGTGCATATAATTTCCTGAAGTAACTTTGAAAACAATTACTTATCTCGTTTGGTTTGTGGATAATTTTCCATCCACTTCTAAACTTGTCACAGTGTTCAGTTTTTGCCTCTTTTTCAATTGCCATGACAGAAATTTCCCACATTTATCTGCTGATTCAAATGTCTTTTGTCTCATTTGCTTTATTTTCCATTCTATCTCTTGATTCATCAATTCCATATATTGCACCTGATAGTGCTTTATTTCTCTCAGAATCTCATGGGACTTTGGTTTAGACCTCAATTTCTTTTCACCTTCTTTTATTTTTTCCAGAATTTTTTCTTTCCTTTCATTTTGATTTTTCCTCTTTATGGAGTTCTGTTGTATTAGAAAACCTCGCATCACGGCCTTACTTGCGTCCCAGATTATTCTTTTTCCACTTCTGTTCTCAAATTTATCTCAAAGTAATCTTTCAGTGTTTTTTGGGCCTTCTTATAAATCTCTTCATCTCTAAATAGGGTGTCATTCATTCTCCATCTAAAGGATCCAGTTGATGTTAGTTTCATCTCCATCTTTACAGCATTATGGTCGGAGCAAGTCTTTGAGCAGATTTCTACCTTTTTGATCCTTGGCGCCATACTGCTAGTTACCCAAATTTGGTCAATTCTTGTCCATGTCATTTTTGCTTCAGAGAAAAAAGTTCCCTCTCTCTCAAGAGGGTTCCTTGTTCTCCAAATGTCAATCAAGTCCATAGTTTCAGTCATTTCAAAAAAAGTCTTTGGTAGTCTCCCTTCCTTGGAAATTACTTGTCTTTGTGCTTTGTCCATATTTGTGGAAACTACACCATTCATGTCTCCCATCATTACTACTCTATAGTCTAAATAGTCCATTAAAGTCTCATGCAGCTTCTTAAAGAATTCCGCCTTCCCGTCATTTGGTGCATAAATTCCGACTATCAAGATTTTTCTCCTTGAACTTGTATTTCAATTGCCAGGTATCTTCCTTGTTCATCTTTAAATATCATCTTTGGGGCCAATTTTTCTTTTGCATAGATCACCACGCCTCTTTTCTTAACTTTGTCTGATGAAATAAATTCCTGTCCAAGTCTCTTGTTTACCAATAATTTCCTATGTGTCCTGGTCACATGGGTCTCTTGTAGACATATTAGGTCTAATTGTTCTCTTTTCAAAATATGAAAAACTTGACGTCTTTTTCGGGGAAGGTTCAAACCATTACAATTCCAACTAAGAAGCTGCAGAGACATTTTGTTATTTAGGTACCTGTTCCACCGACTGCTCCTAACTTTTGTTCATCTTCAGATGGTGGTATGAGTCCAAATGACAAGTTTGCAATGTCTGTCACTCCTTTTTCTTGTATTGTTGTTTCTACTGTTCCTTTCTGCAAGTCCTCCTGATATCTCTCCAAAAACTGTTCTTTATCTTGAACTGTTCTTATTTTGACCTTCCTTCCTTTGAAAGTAAAAGACAATCCTTGTGGAAACTCCCACCTGAAGGGTATGATATTTTTCTTCAGCAGGTAGACCAAATCTTTATAGAAGGCTCTCACCTCCAAAATATATTTAGGGATATCTTTAAAAATTTGTACTTGACTATTTTCAATCTCCAATGCCTTTTGGTAATGCAAGTTCAATATTTTATCTCTTTCTCCTTTGGATCTCAATGTGATCAAACAATCCCTTGGCTTCTTACCTTGCCTCCTGCCCAGCCGAAAAGCTGTTGTTATTTCAAGATCTTCTTCCTGCAGCTCCTTTTGCCAAAATTCCATAAAGTTCTGTGTAAGGAAGTCCACAAGGCTATCTCCCTCACTCTCGGGAACCAATCTCAATTTCAGATTTCTCTCTTTTCTCTGTAATTCCAGCAAAGATAGGGCTGCATCATGTTCATTCACTTTTTTTGTAATCGGCACAAGCTCCTCCCTTGTCTCCTCTGCAGTATTTTTGCACTTTCAGCAATCTTTCGTGTTTCAGAACTTTCTTGAATTAATTTATTAATAGATTCTGTATTAGATGTTACACTTGCAGTATTCAAGTCCAATCTTGCTGTCAGTTCTGTCAATTTTTTGAATTTTCCGTAGATAGCTTTGTCAGTGCTTCTAAAGATTGGTTTATTTTGAGCAGTGCCTGTGTCATTGAATCCATAGATGCTGTTGCCACTTTTTCCTGTGCAGCTGGTGGTATGCCAGATATTGAGCCCCTTTTCTTTTGTGTCTGTTTTGCTTTGGATCTAGTTGTTATCTCTTCTGCTGGACCACTCATATCCTCAAGGTCGTTCTCACAGGAAAGACTTGCAAGTGGAAAATCCCACTGTTTCTTTTTCACTATAACAGTTTCTCTTTATACCCTCTAGAGGGAGCATTTAATTGTATCCAAGTGAGAGAGAAAGAACAAAGGAACATAGAGCAATCAACAAAAAATCCAAGAGTCCACAGTAAAAGTTTCTGTCGCACTTTTTCAGTATAGTCACAAGTTCAACAAAGTAATTCCATTAAAGTCCCGTAACTTTGTCTCAGACAAAACCCCAACTTTGTATCCAGTCTAAACTGACAGTTCACTTTCCCAGTGCCTTACTCAGGCAGTCCGTTCAGGGGATTT